GGAACGTCTCACCGCCTTAAAAGCGGTACGGTATTTCCGTTACCGAACGCTACATCGGAGTATGTACTGGTTGGAGTCAGGTCTACTCAGGTCTACTTGTTGCTAATGTAGTACTTCATGGTAGTGGTTTCATTCGAGGTGGCGAACATACAAGAGTACAGGTATCACAAGTCTCTCGCCACACAATTAATAGAACAAATTAAAAACATCCAACATCCACAGGTGAGCAGTTACCGCTGGGATGTGACACATGACCGCCCGAAGCGGATGGAATGTACGTCGCAAGGAAATGGGGGTATGTCTAAGCTCTGGCACACAGATAAACAAAGGAAACCCGGTGGAAAAAGGAAAACGAAGGCGTAGGCCTGCTCACTGGCGAGACCATCAATGCAGAAAAAGAACCCACCCGGGATGTAGGTCAAGTCGTACAAAAACTCGGTGCGAGAATGGTACACGAAGAAGGGAAGGACGCCAATCGGGCGCCATGGTCATTACATTCATCGAAATCGGTAGGATTTATGAGCTAAAGGCGAGGTGGGGGCATGTCCAGAAGCCCCGACAGGCACTCGGACCCGATGATTCTTTCGAGTGGGTGTCTGGGCGCAGAAGATGCACACATACACGGACGGCAGGTTGGCCCGCTCCAGTCCAACGCACTTGGTGTGTAACCAGTGACTGCATGATTCGCTGCTCATCAATCAGTAGCCATCCATAGACAGTTATTGCTATGGCTTACCATTGGATCATGAGGTGGCCACCATTGTCCATGGAATTGCAGACACACCGGGTCCCATTGCTCGGGTTGCTGAAGCGGTCGGTGACGGGGGTGGCTATGTCGGGGTCGGTCATGGTCGTGGGCGATGTATTCGTGGTCCGTGAGCTGAGGTCAAGCTCCGCACCGAATCGTGGCGGGGACGATCTGAGGTGAGCGAGAGAGCGAGCAGAACGGCTGATCCGCGACCCGTAGCTGACAGTGTGCGGACGAGGGATCCGACCTCTCTCTTGGAGGACCTTTCGGAGTGCATGCTGGGCATCACCACTGTCATCCTCGGGATCAGCAAAAGGCTCGCCTAGGGAACCGGCACTGAGGTATGATAGGTCTGAGTGGAGCGTTGCCAACTGCTTTTTCGGGGTGCGCTTCCAGTCATCCAAAGTAGGCTTGTACTGTGGTCGTCTGGAAGGCGCTCGACCGGCGTCAGCCCACGGGGATGCTCGTCCTGAGGATGACGCTGCCGTAGAGGTATAGGAACCCTTCGAATGGGGCCTTGAACCACAGTCACTACGAGCAATCGTCGCCCCACTGGCGTCGGAAAATGCAAATGAAGGGTTGCGGCTGGGGACAGTTGGGTATTCACAGTAGTCCACCGAGTCATACTCGCTTTCCGTGGTGGAGCCATCCAAGTCCATTCCTGTGATGGGGTCCGTCAAACCGGTTGATGCCTCGGGCACAGGTTGCATTTCCGCCTTAGCTCTACCGTCTTTGCCTATCTTGAGGACTACGGACTGAGAGCGTCTGGGCAGAGTAGCAGCCACTGAATTTGCCCTCGACAGCTGATGACGAATGGGCTTGATGGGAGACGAGCGACCCTTGGAGGGACTCTTCCGGATTCCATTGCTGGAAGCCATCATACTCCCAGACCCCGGTCGGCTGGCAGACCCTGCAATAGCACTGTGCGTTAGGCTACGAGTCAAAGTCGGCCTCATCTGACGGGGGGTGTAGTCATCGTCATCATCATCCTCATAGACAGGGATATGATGGTTGACGCTGCGAGCGCGGCGGAGCTCCTCTCTCTTGGACTCCTCCGTTTGGTGATGGTAGGGCTGGCGAGTCGGTCGGGAGAAGAGCCTCTTCTCAGGAGTCGGCTGCAGTCCACCAAATCGGCGTGCGGGGGAGCTCAGGAACAGTGCTGGATCCTCTGCTTTCGTGATAGGGCGGCGAGGGGAAGTGGAGAAAGGGGCAGGGAAGAGGGCGGCGTCGGTAGTGGTCACCCCCGAAGAGAGGTTATATGTACTACTATTATTGAAATCGGGGAGGTCCATGTTTCCTTCGATTATAGGCAACTGTGGGATGTGAGAATCCGGGGCGGTGGTGTGGTTGACATGGAAGGAGTTATTGGCATGAAGGTCAAACAAGTCAAGATTGTTACTGGCCGACAGGCCCATGTTGCTCTCGTGCTGATTGAGATCATGGTCCCAGAATAGCCTTTGCTGTGGGAAGAATGAAGAGGCACCGGAATCGATTGATCCTAGCTGGAATGGGTCTGAGGATGATTGAAGGTCTCCAAAGAGCCGTGGGGAAGCCCCCAGTAACCGACTGGGAGTTTCTAAATGACCGCCAATCATGCTAGAGGCGGACGGCCGTCGACCTGTACCGGTGGCCTCGTCAACCCCCGTCACCTTCTTCCTCGAAGCACTGCTGGGAGGAGGAGTCTGAATTGTCGCAGCAGATTTGGCTGAATCTACTGTGCGAGGACCATCCTCTCCCACATGCCCATGTGGCCTGGACGGGCGACGTCTCTTGGCCGTATCAGTGTCCTGCTCCGCCGCTTTGCCATTCCGGGTATTGTCCTCAGTATCGGTCGGTCGGTCGGGGGCAGTATCCGGCAGCCGGAGAGGATTGATGGAAGGTGTGCTCAGCCCAAACTTCTGGGGCGTGCGGAGGAATTCCGGACTCGAGGCATAGGGGTCCGAAGTATCCCAGGTAACCCGGGGATCGAAGAAGCTGGATTCGAGTTTAGGGGTCTGGAAAGCGGAATCGCCAAAGATTGTGGTTGTCGGGGGAGTCCTCGTAGGAGTCTGAGGTTCACCGTTGGGATAGCTGAAGCTGAACGAGAAAGACGGCTCTGTCAGCATCATGTTGCACACTAGCTACCGCTGAAGGGTCGGAGCTCGGTAGGAGCTCCGCAACCCACACGATATACTGCCAGAGGAGACCAATGTGGGTGGAGGGTTTATGTGCATGTAGAGATAAAAGTCCGAAATTAAGCGGAAGACAGTGAAAAAGTGCAGTAACAAAAGAGCAAGGAAACAGTATGAGGGAGAAATTGTAGCTAGTAAGGAGTGTGGTGATAGAGAGGCAGCCCCGCGTGTGCCGGTAATACAAGATGAGTAGGAAATTCAACCGACATACCTGTGAACCGGTTGATCCCAACTCATGTCAGCAACGTTGTGATCCCAGCAACCATACAATGCACAAGCTGCCAGGCAACCCTCTTGTAGGAAGTCCAGATATTTCGGGGGCCGTCAGGAATGTTGGAGGAGAGGGGTTGGTTCGGTAGGGATCGCTGTGCCGACGAATGTGAGCCTCCTCCACAGGGTCATTGAAGCCAAGTTAGTTCGGACTGGAGTTGTAGGTTCGGACACAAGAGTGTTTGACCCTTCGAAGGAAAGGTTGGGGTTGGACGAAGGGAGGACGACGCTAGCACATAGTCCTATCGCCGGTCTGAAGGACGGGAGGTCACCGGAGCTGGTAATCTGGAGAAGGGGACAAAGAAAAAAGGTAGAGAGGGAGGAAGAGGAGGAGTCAAGAGGGGAGGAGGGAGATAGAGAGGATGGACTCAGACCAGGCAGGCTGGGGGGTCGAGGGATTGAAGGTTGGGTTAGGTTGGTTAGTATGGAAGGTTCCAAGAACGACAGAGCTCTCCTGAACAAAGGGAGGAGCGGAATGCGTTTAGATTAGGACGCTGTGTCTTTGATGCTTCCCTCTTTTGTTTTGGCCGAACCTTGCCCTTCAAACAGGAGTGAACAGGAAAAAGTGAAAAAAAGAAAAGGAGACCAGGAGAAGATTCAACCGGCTCGTTGTGAAGGAGGAAGAAAAAAAAAAAAGAGACAGAGGAAGAGAAGAAAGTAAGAAGCGAAGCCGAATGGGAAATTTTGTGTTTTCGTTTTCCTCTGTTTGTAATTTGGTAATAAATTGACAGTTTTTTTGCCCTCTTTTTTTCCTTTTTACTTACATCCGCAGATCCACCAGCTGGGGACTTTTTTTTTTATGAACTGCTACGTTCCCTGGGAGGGTCAAGGTCCGGTTTTGCTGCAACCAGGACTTGGTACCTTCAATTGCTGGTGACAAATGAGGCTGCTCCAAATTATCGTCTTTGATCCTGCCATCTTAATCCCCCGCCATTATTATAGTGTTTGTTATAGTATTCTAGTATTCATCTAGTCTTTGGTCATCGAGTCCCCTCTCGAATCATTATCTAACTAATTAACCAACCAACTAACTCTGCCTTTCCTCCCGATCGTCCTCCACTTTTGGCTGGTGGAGCTACGGGCCTTGGGTGAGATGAACTGGGACCGCTGCACACGACCGACACCTTGACCTTCCCGCTGCGAAGGGGGAGCCTTCATGACGCACCGGATGGGTACAAAAAGTGAATGGATTGTAACATAGAATAATAACCTTTTCTATTTTCTTACTTCCTCTTATGAAACAGAGCATGAGGTGATCACTACTAATCATCATGCTTTGGTGGTTCTATCAAATTCCAATGGTTCTGGTTCCGAGAATAGTGAACTATCACACTACTCTTTAGTAGTTTACTGTGTACCTCGGATGGAATAGTCAGCTAGTAGTGACTTAATCAATTCTTAGGGAAGGTATACTCCGCTTGTGATTGTACTGTATAAGATAGACAGTGATCCACCCATCAAACTATGCTATACTGTACTGTACCTATAATCTTACCGTCAATGCCGGAGAAACGTATACGAGGTCACCGGCATCATCTTGCAATAGTCGACAAATGGAGACGACGGGAAGAGACTGGTCCTTTCAGCGCGAGATTACTAGTATACCACCGAACGTATCCATAATAATCCATGACTAGTGAACCGCGCTCCAAGGCACCAGCGGGCGGTCCCAAGAACAAGGAACAGCGGTCCATTTCCGTGGGTCATCTATCACCGTCTCCAGCGTGATCGGTTGGTCAAGTTACTTACTGGTGCTGACGCCGGGCTCTGGACCTGCATCCGTCTTCGATTGTTTCCCTCCCCCGTATCTTATGGCTTGTTCATTATTCCTCGGGTGGCCATCGAATAGACTTCCCACTTGGCTGAAGAGGGTGACCGATATGTCAACAGTCACAGGTGATAGATATCGAGGGCTTTGGTTTCACTTTGATCCCAGAATTGTGGCCGCACGTCTCGACCGCTCTCTAAACCACCGATGTATGTAGATCGAATCATACCGGTCAACACTTACTCCATATTTTGCTCCATACTGTACTTACTGGAGTAGGAATCAACCCGGACAAGGTTTTGAATGTGAGCAGGTCAACCTCCCTTCCCTTACGAAAGCGTCGATCGAGGCCGGATTGGGCGACGGGAGATTGAGCCTTGCGACCACCGCCAACACTAACGACCCTCGGACGCCCTGGGGTTTCTGGTCCTTCATCCTCCCACCACACCCCCCCGACTCCGGCCACGACCACCACTAAAACTAACCACTAATAGTCAATCCACTGGGGCCCTCTTTTCAGCTCCAGCCTCGATCTCATCCCACGTCTTGCAAGATTGTGTTAATACTGTGTTAGTACTGTGTATGTGTGTGCCCGGAATATTAATAGCTCCCCGTAATTACGATCTCCTGGGCCTGGGACCGACCCCAATGACGACATTTGAACCCATTTCCAATTTCCTTCCTCAATTCAGCTCCGTGTCTTCTCCGGCATAATCCCTGGTCTGGCTCCCTTTCCTAACTTAGCTGTCTGGAAGCTAGTATGTCGACGCTATTTACACCCGCTGCAGCTATCCATGCTTCAAACTTCGGGACAGGCGAGGTGACAGAAAACGTAGCCAAATACCAAATGGCTCGTCTCCAGAAACCGTTGAATTTAAGACTCGACTGATTCCAAGTCTTTGCTTTCCCAGTTCCTACACATAACGAGTCAGACTTGTCTAATTTAGTCTATTTCTTGGGAAGCAGATGTTTCAGCCCGCGAGGGAAGTATCTTCTTTCATGGATACTAGTACCAGTAAGAGTAAGTGGTAGCTAGAATGGATACTGGGCAGGGCAAAATGGTAGGGTGAGCTTCCGTCCCCGAAAGTAATATTACCCGATTAAGGAGATTCACCGCGACCCGCCCGGTGGTTCATTCATTGGGCCACGAAAAGAGGGGACGTGAGGCGACCCAACGCGAGTCTAGACTAAGTACTAGGTAATGACTACTATCTGCAGTTCTACTATCTATCGGTTCTCCTGGACGGAGGATTCTAATGCCTGCCGCGACTCGTTTAGCAACAAGAAAAAGAGATCAATGCTTTAGTCTCTGGCGAACATCATTGGTCAAGCATTATTGGAAAGGGGAGAGCCTATGGTAGGGGCGGAATTCTCCCCGATCGGTTAAACTAAAGTACTACACTCCAGGCTTCAATGGGTAATGCCGTCCACTACTTCCGAACCCAGATTGAGTTGATTCGCAGTTACATACTTACTCCGTCCCGAACTAACCCTACTATTATTCAATATTATTATGATCTTTTTTCTATGTTCTGGGGGCATTGATCTGCTCTGCCGATGCTAATCCAGCCGACTGAGATGGAAGCCGTTTCCGATAGGCTCCAAGCATCCACCAACGATGACTTGTTGTCTGGAGTCCCTCCCCCCTTTACAAGTCAGCAAACAACCATTCTCAGGCCATCGGGGCTGAACCAGTAAGAGCTGCTGCACGCGAGCGACGGGACCTGCAGCAGTAGTTAGACGCCCTGCGGTGTAACCCGCAGTAGTCTCTCCTCTCTCCCTCCATTGAGCATCTATGATTTCAGTTTTCGAGGAAGCCCCTGACATGATGGTTGATGCAGCACCGGCTTAGTGTCCTGCCAGCCTGTCCATCTCGCAGCTCGTCAGGCACACCTTGGCTGGATTAAGGTTGGAGACATCAGTAAGGAGCAGCACTGCCCAGGGTGATGTTTGGCTCACCCTTCCTCTAATTACAAAAAGGTTTTGCTTTGCTCTTCACCCCGCGCAAGAGATTCCTGGACAGACAACCGGGGTTCTTATCTTTTGTGCAGCTGAAGTGAGATGTGAGTGCACATGGCCCTGAGGACTGCATACCTACCTGAGCTGCACCATAGATCTATCTATAGCAATTTCTTGCTCTTCACGATGTGTGAGATCCGGTGACCTGACTGGAATGCCGGCGGAGCATAATCATCGATCAATATCTGCGGATCAGATGCACATAATGTGCAGCTTCATACACCGACTGCGAAAGTGGCAATTATTGTGCGGATATTGCCGTTTACATGTAGGATTGTTACCATGGGGATACGGGCCTGGAGCGGGTGCTTTGCAGAGTCAGTGCGATCGATCCTACAGGAGATTCGTAAAGTAGTATGCAGCGAATGCATGAAACAGAAGGGCTGATGATAGTTCATACGAGTGTTGCCAGTATAGACCGATAGTGACGACGGGTAACTTCATCGTGCGGAGTACTCCGTCACCGAGGCTCTTATTAAAGAACAGTTGTGCTTTCTGTAGCCCATGCTGAGTGGCATACTGTAGATACTCTGTTTCGCCTCCATAAAAGAGCCTTTCACAGGATAAGAAGACGGCCATTCCCATAAATAGTGTGAGATGAAGGGATTATATAACTGATGAAGTTATTATTGTATACCATATATAGAGTATACTTGAGACCCCGAAATGATACATGCGACTACTCGAGGATCTACTCATACTTGATACCTGAAACTGCAGGCTCTACACACCGCCACACGCACCAGCCACAACCCCGCCAAAATCCACCGCCCGCCGAGAAGAGGAAAGTGAGTGGATTCATCCACCCAATCCATCCATTGTGCTGTGTCAAATCACTCTTTGGCCATTGGGCATCATTATCCAGCCTTTCTTTCAGCCATAACCACAATCATTTACAACCATTTGCTACAAGGCATAACCAACTCAGCCCGCATGGGTTGTTATACATAAAGAGAGAAGGACAGCTGGGCCGTCGTTCTTTGACTATGAATGAACGTTCCTTTCACTATCCCGACCCATAAGAATTACCATCTGCAAGCACCTAATCAGTTTCTTCCCCTACACGCCTCACCGTTTTCCCATACCAACAGAGCAGCAGTAGCCTTAGTGCAGCGTCAGATCCCAAGTATACAATAAGAATCAGATTTGGATCGTGTCTTGCCTAGTCTTTACTCAGACTCTTATCTGAATGGCCTTTCCCTCTCAAAAAGATCGGAGATAATGTCGCCCACGCCAAAGAAAGCCTCCCGCTCAGGGGCCGCCAGAAGGCGGCGTGGGAAACGGAAGATCACCCCGAGATCGCCCCTGTCTATCCTGGCCCAGACTCGCAAAAACAGCGCCGTGAAGAAACGTGATCGCGGCGACGTGGTTAGCAGCAGCAAGACAAAACTTACGGAGCGCAGGAGTAAACCAGGGAGACCATTCAGACTGAATCTCCTTCCACTGTCGACTGAGCCAAAAGAAAAGGTGAGTGATGACAAAAACTGAGAGACCTGCTTCGGGCTTCTCTTCTGCCCTTGATAGTTATTAGTGTTCCCGGTGTTGTAGCAGGGATCCCGATCACCCAGCCTTGATCCTTGCATTGCCTGCATATCCTAGCGCCAACTCGGGGTACCAATCACTAAATACATACTGACACCCGAGCCGTGGACAGAACTGTTTTAGACGGGATCCATCCCCTGCAAACTACAGATTTGTCCCCAAGGGCGACATCTACATTACTCGCAATTGCCGAAAACTGACAAAGGAGTCTGGCCGAATTGTCTACGTGGTTTATGTGAGGATACAAACCCAAATCATTCTACTACTAGCAGCTTCTTTGTACCCATTTCCTAACCCTTCCGCAGGATGATAGAGGCAAGAGCACTCTTGGCCTACGTGTTCCGGCCGATGTTCACACTGCCGTCCTCCGATTAGCGGACGAAACAGCTCAGTCTCGCGCTCAAGCTGTTCAAGTACGTGATGAGAAAGATTATGCGCAAGCCCGTCAGCTCTTACGCGCCCAGTTTCCTTTAATGCCAGAAGAGTCACTGGACACTATTCTCGAACATGCCTTTCTGAAGGGCTCTGGCCGCGTGGGCCGGACATCCAGATTATCGGACCAAGACAAAGCCAAGTTAGCCGTAGAGGCTCATATCAGACACACCCATACCAGCTATGAAGCACTCCTGAAGGCCGGGAAGACGCGCGGTGAAGCTCGTCAAGCGTCAAAGGAGATGGTCCAGGCTATCAGGACCGCATGGGCAGGTGGCAATGTAGAGCCAACAGATTGCCTGACTATGCGGGATCGAGTGATTGTGATTGATTGATTTCTGTGTGGGGAATAATTTGGTTCCAAACCAACGACATTGAAACGAAAGCGATGCCCTATTAATGTTCATTTCTGGTATGTTGGAGACAGTACACAGATTGCATCAGGGTTAACATCACATATGTGCGAGGCCGCAACACCTCCACGGCTACGGCGTTCTGTTCTGGCTTATTTGCATTGATGCACAGCGTGATGACCACAAGCATTCATGATTAGATTAAGCATAGAGATTAGACACTCAGGTTAATATTAGATCATGCTATTCAAACATGAGAGAGAGAGAAACCTCTCTCAATCCACCTTCCAACACACCCCACCCCATCCAGCCCTACCATCTTTACCTCTCCCCCCTCCCCCCAACTACCCACACCCCGAACCCTCACCACTCCCCCCCTCCTCCCAAACCCTCAACCCCCTCGACCTCCACCCAACAATCGGCTCCCCGGGCTCATAAAAGAAAATCTCCAACCTTCCCCCATCCCCATCCCTCCTATAAGGAAAGAACCTTACCTCCCTAACACCCCCCTCCAACTCCAATACCACCTTATCGAGATCTCCCAACAAATTCCCAAAAATCTCCTGCGCGGTATCCCCCCTCGCCGCAACCTTACACAGCACATGATACTTAGTCCGATTAATCGCCTTATTAGCGAAACTCCCCGTCCGGAGAGCGTGTGCTAGATGCTGCTTCGCGGATCGCAAGATGGCGAAGATGCAGTGCGGATGGTGTCTGTTGATTGGGGTGTGGGCGAGAGTATCGCATTCGGGCATGTTGGTGAGGAGAGTATCGAGTGAGAACCCGATGGTTATGAGGATGAGGTTGTCCAGCGGTGTGTAGAACAGTTTCTTGTAGTATTCGAAGGTTATTCCGGATTCTTTGAGGCGGAGGCGTCGGGTGAGGATGGGGTCATTGTGGGTGGTTTGGGGAGGGAGGGGGATGGTGATGGTGGTGGTGGTGGTTGGGTAGAAGGGGTAGAGGTGATGGTCGAGGGTCGGCCAGTGGCTCATGTCCAGGTGGGGATGGAGGTCGTGCAGGAGGGTGGGGTAGAGGAGGGTGTCCATGTTTGATTGTTTTTTTTTTTTTTCCTTGGCCTGCTGAGCAGGGGGGTGAAGGACCCTGAGGTGGGGTGTTTGGTGGTGGTAGAATGCATTTTATAGGGGTTTTATATGGGGAGGGGAGTAGGTTAGGGTTTATGGTGGGAATGGGATTTTGAGAGGGGTTCCTGTAGTTGTTGCGGGAGTCTCCAGTGTAGGGCTCTCACTGGGAAGCCTGGATTGCATGTAGGAGTCTGCACATGAGCCTGATGTGCCTAATGGGTACTATACTAGGCTGGTAGGCCAGTAATGGATCTTGTTGTGGTCTTCTGCACATAAAATGATCCATCAGGTCGAGCTTGGTCGGAAATTGCCGTAGATGGTAACTTGATAATACACCTGCTGCTAACAGTGAATGAGCCTGGAACATCTTTTGCTTGATTTGGGGGTAGAGCTGTAATGCTAAGGCTCCATGTCATGGTGGTCATATCGAGGTTCTAGGCCGCATGTACTAACACCTACGTTGTCCCTTTCTTCCTGAATGATCCCCAGGAGTATCGGTTTGAGGTCTGACAATACTCGCATGACAAGAGATGTAGGTAGTCTGTGCTATGTAGTAGCAGAGTCTTATTCCAGTGTGCATGTGTTCACCCATATAGCTGAGTGACGCACTCCGTCCTTTTCTTGATATACTGCGTATACTCAAAGGAGCTATGCTTATCATGTTGTATCATCATACATAGAGGCATAAGAGCCGGATCTTCACAACCCACATCCTTGCAGGTTAAACCGCAGAGCAGATGTGCATACCAGCTTTACGGAAAGAATATCCAAATCCTGCGAGAACCCTTTACGTACTTGATATAGAGAACTCTTGAGGAGATGCCTGAATGGAACCATGCCGCCGAATACCCTGACATATCTCCTCAGTTCACTGCTCA